GTATGATGTAACCACAAAAAGGAAAGAAAATTGATATATGTAATGTCATGAATAAACATTGAAAGAAGCATGCTTTTCCCTAACATTACTCTGCTATGGCTAGGGAAATTATGAATAGAGTTGTATTTATTATTATTATTATTGTTATTATTATTATTAATTATTATATACTGTATAGGTGAGATGGCTTGTGAGCCACAGAGCAGATTTGGAAGTCAGATGATAATGTTGTGGATTTCGTTCTCTCCTTACACCTGTGGATTCCAGGGATCTCACTCGAGCTCAAGAGGCTGTGAGAGAGTACCTCTTACCCAATTAGCCATTTGATAGCTCTGTTCTTTTCTATTTTTAAATTTGGAAATAAAGGTTTGATATTCATTATATGTCCTCATGCTATCACCTAAGTTCTTTTTACAGAGAGCCTTTTTATGGGCACAGAGATAATTTATAACTTACTATAGTTTATTTTTTAACCATTTCTCAAAATTCATTTTCACGTATATTGGCTAGGTTTACAAACTCAAAGAGGTATATTGGCTTTATAATGTAGATTTTAAAACAACCTTACAGTTGGGCATTGGTAGTGCATGCCTTGAATCCCAGTACTCAGGAGGCAGAGGCCAGCAAATCTCTGTGATTTGGAGGCCAGTCTGGTCTACAGATCTAGTTTAGGACAGGTTCCAAAGTAATACAGAGAAACCCTGTCTCGAAAAAACAAAATCTTATAAGTCAATCATATGTGTTTTTTACTTTTGAGATATCATTCAGCCTAGACACTGTAGTCATGCTTTGAGGCATCTGTAGTTGCTCAAGCACTGTGCTAAGTAACAAGAGTACAATGATAAATATGACAAGTATGTTTTTATAACTTTTCAGCTATTTCTGTTCCAAGATAGTCTTTGTAGCACTTCCCTTTTTCAGTCTCCATGCTATGTGCTTTGCTTGTTTTATGTACAGTAGCTGTGAAGAACAGTATAGCTGTCATGAGGCACAGAGGCATTGTGTCTTCTGTCCCCAGTGTAGTGCTTGAGTAGTAAGGACTCAGTGAATGTTTATCAAATGGGTGAACAAATCAGAAACCAATTCTGGAAAAATTCAAGTTAATATTTTCTTAACAACAGAATAGTCATCTGTGTCAAATGCCAGTGAGAGGACAAACAACAGTGATATGAAGAATAGGTACACCGGTGATGGATTGTTTGGGTGAGGTTGTGGGAAAAGTACTCATTGAGTAGATCTGGGAGAGGTTTGAGATTGTATGTTAAAAGTCTAAAGAATGTGCAGAATTCCTTGAAGGATGCTGAGTTGAGGAAGGTGTTTTATTGTTGTCATTTTGTTTGTAACTACAACTGTTCAATTTAAAAGTGATCCTTTGATGCTACAGAATGCATATGTCTCATCACTGCTTCAATTATGTTTCACATAAAGTTATTTGAATTGGAACCAATCAAATTCTAGATTGTATGTGGTCATAATATCTTAAAATCAAATTTTTTTTAAATAGAAAGTAATCTTTCATTTACTAATGAAACTTGATCAACTGTCAATAAATATACTTTACATCATTGATCGAATTTTTCTTCCTTTTGGTATATATAGTCTGTTTCTCAGTTTTCAGTACTATCTGTAACTATAATGTAAGGCTGTGTTGTTACATTTAGTTCCGGCTGTTTGGTGATAAGCATTTCTCTTTTGTGCAGCATCACAGCAGTGCATGGTTCTAGATGTTTCATCATGCTGATATTGAACCCTGAAACTAAGTGGAGGTGCTGATGTTTCCATGCACATTTTTGCTTTAACCTTTCATTCAGTTTTCCCAACTTGTCATTTTTTTGCCCGTTGTAGTTTATTAAATTTACAGAAATGTCTTCTTCCAGTTATGTTAATGTATTTTAACCACTGCAAATATCCAAAAGAAAAAGCATAGTGGATTGGATATAGAGGGATTCCAGCTTAAGAATTGTTCTTTCTTTTAGAAATGTGGGTTTTTTTTAATATTTGATATTGCCTTTGAAATAAAAACATTAAGCCATTTCCAACATAACTTTTGCTCTTTATCAAGAGTCCTTCTTGTTATCAATACAGATTTGTAATTTCTGTCTTAACATATGTGACATGGTAATAGAAGACAGGACTGTTTGGACAGGGAACCGGAAGTGGGAAGCTGTATGGAAGGGCAGGAAAGAGTTCAGTGGCTCTTACCAAGTCAGTCACTGTGCAGTGAATACACACACCCGTTTCATGAAGTGTGTGATGGAGTAATAGTGTGCTGCACACCTGTGTTTTACATTATGTACATGGATGTGCATTTACTTGCAACTGATTCTCAGCTTTGTGGCAGTCTATTGCAGAGACTAGTAAATGCTGCCATTAAGCAAATAAAATGATAAATATCTGGCAGTTCTGCTTAGACACTAATGGAGTCTAAAAGCCTTTAAAATGACAAAATGCGGCAACTTTTATGATTTATAGGCTCATTTGTGTTACACAGTTTGGTCATATACTTGACAGTATTCCCTCCCCCACTCCCCCCTTTTTTTTAACTCTCTCCTAAAAAATTATGGGTTTGTGTTACCTGAGTGGAAAGCCATTAGAATTCAGGAGCGGAATATAACAGAGTGTCAGCTAAGTCTCCCTGTGTTGTGCATGGTCCTAAGGGAAAGGGAGTAATTCTGTCATTCCCCAGTGTATACACTACCACAGAGGCCCTATGAATTGCCCTCAGAATGCCTCATACTTGCTTTTGTGCAATGCTGTTTTTAGACAGACATATTTCTTTACGGATCAGGTGTTTCCATTTATTTTCAGTTAGTCTACACAGTCTGGAGAACACTGGTTGCTGTGCTCAGACATGTACCTGTCAAATCAAATTTTAAGAATAATGTGGATTACACAGTGTTTAGTTACCTAGTGCCAGACTTCTTTCTTTGGAAGTCGTCATTTAAGCTAGACTTTTTTGGCATCCACCGATCGCTCTGTGGTGTCTCTGAAAGCAGTGATGTAATCTGATCTGTATTGTGTGTCGTCTGAGAATCCAAGAAACATTTTACATTAGCTGCATTGATCGGGAATCCTTTCTAGTCATTTACTAGACAATTAATACAGTCTTGTAAAGTGTCCCCTGAGTGTCTGTATATACTTAATCATTTAACCAAGACCAAAAGGTGCATCAAGATAGACAAAGAATGACTTAAGCTGACTAATAGAAACAGGAAATTCTAAATCCACAGGTCATATTATACTCCATACATCTTTAAAAATAAGCTATGCTTGCTGTCTTGAAATTTCCTTGAAACCAAGGAAGATGATTTTTACAAATTCAAATTTTAATTGATAAAAATATGGAAATGTAATTTAAATATATGTCTGTAATTATAGTTTTATTTCTAAGTCCTGTGATCCAAGTCTGTCTCTAAAGACTGACAAATCAGCACAGGACTGACCCAGACCCCCTCAACATGGGTGTTAGGAGGCCTGGGCAGTCTATGGGGCCTCAGATAGTGGATCATTATTTATCACTAGTATACAAATGGACTTTGTGAGCCCATTCCACATAGAGGGATGCTCCCTCAGCCTAGACACATGGGGGAGAGCCTAGGCCATGCTCCAAACGATATGACAAACTTTGAAGACATCACCCTCCCTGGGGAGCAGAAAGGGGATGGAATGGGAGATAGGTGGAGGGTAGGAAAAGAGGAGAGGGAGGGGGAACTGGGATTGACATGCACAACAAGATTGTTTCTAATCTAACTAAAAAAAGAGAAGACAAAAAAAGTGATGAACATCTTTTGCATCAGTCCTTAAAGCAGCATAATTTTGTGACTTCTTTTTAATCTTTGCAGTTTTATGATTTTGTATGTACACAGTGGCATGTGTTTTGAAATACTGGCAGCAGTGGTACTGTAGTGCATGCTGAAAAGCTCAGAAAGAAATTGTTTCTGATCTGTAAGTCATGTGCTGGTCTGCATCACTGAAGAGATGGCTATGTAATTGGTTTGAAGTCAAGCCTGCTGTAGTCAGCCTCAGAAGAGTATGAAAAACTAACCATGTGGTGTCATTACCTTAAGGCATGTCCACAAGATTCCTATACTGTATCAAAGTCCATCTAAGTCCCATTTATACGTCCCTGATGTTTTGTATTATATTTTAAAAGCATCATCAATAAAATTGATATTCATTATTTTCTTCGAAAAATGTTTACTGATTTACTCATAAAAAAATGATTTCCTTAAAAGGTATTTTCATTAGATATGGGTGTTTCTAACAGCTAATGAAAATACCTTTTAGCTGGGAATCCAGCATGGGACAGTCTCAGACCCCCTGAATATGGGTCTCAGCTAGAAGGACTGAGCAGTCTAAGAGACCTCAGACAGTGGAACCAGGATGTATTCTGGTGCACAAAAGGACCTTGTAGACACATCCCCCATGGAGGAATACTAACTTAACCTAGAGACAGGAGAGAAGTCCTAGTCCCTGATTCAAATCTGTCAATTCAGACAGATTTACATGACCCCCACCTGGACGGCATGCCCTACATGTGGAATTGGGGTGGGGGGATGGGATGGGAGGGTGGTCAGGGTGCATGTGAGGTGTCAGAGATGGTAAGAGGGAGGGAGGGAGGAAGGGAGCGAGGGAGGGAGAGGGAACTTGGATCAATATGTAAAATAAAAAGAATTAATTAAAAAATGATATTTTCATAAATTCCTACCTGTTAAAGCTTATAGCCCTAAGGCCTTTTATGAATGCTACGTGAATGTACATCCCATGAATGATTGGGTACTCTGGTCTCTGTATCTTTGGTTCTTTTGGAACCAAATGCCTGAGAATACAAGAAAGGAATGAACTCTAAAACGTTGATTACTTTAATTTCAGGTGAATGTTAGGAGTTCAGAGCTGTACCCATTGCAGCATTTTATTAATGTTTGCTGTCTTCCTTCGTCATAATTTCTCAATGTGGAATGAAAAGGGATGTTTTCTGAAAACGAGTCTTCCATCTGCAGGTACTACTGAAAGGGTGTGCTTGATCCAGGGGACAGTTGAAGCACTGAATGCAGTTCATGGATTCATTGCAGAAAAAATTCGAGAAATGCCCCAAAATGTGGCCAAGACAGAACCGGTCAGCATCCTACAACCTCAGACCACCGTTAACCCTGATCGCATCAAACAAGTGAGTGTTCCATTGTGAAATGAGAGAGGAATACCCACAATGCAATTATTAGTTCCTTTCAGAGGAAGCAATCTAGTTGTAGCAGAAGAAGGCTTAAACTTATCTAAAGCTGTCATTTAGCTTTTGAAGAATTTCAGAGCCTTTGAGTGGCAAATCAAACTATTGACTAATTGAATTATATATACATTTATTAGTGATATAAAAAGGGGCACTAGTGTTACTCTTTTTGGTTGCTTTTTGCAAATATGGATGCAGGGATTTAATTAACATATTGAACTCTATTTTGTTTTAAATATAACACTTTTAAATATAAAAATTGGAAATGAAATTTATAACTTCAACATTTCCAATGCCCAACTTTAGTGTCATTTGTAGTTCTCAGTGTAGATATTGCATAAAGACTCCTGTTTTATTAAATTGTCTTGTTTAACATTTTATTAACACATATGTATAAGTCAATTTGTACAGCTAGTATTAAGTTCTTTGTTATCAATCAGCTATTAAATTATGTATCTCATGTGTAGTAATTATATATGTGTCATAAAGGCCCAATGTCAAATTTTGATGTATGGAATTTTCTGTAAAGAAAATTTTTCATGACAAAAAAAAAATGTGAATTATTAAGATTGAGTAATGCTTGAGATGACATAGGGAAATGTTAAATAAGGGGGATTCTTTTATCATAAACATTTTAGGGATACATATTTGAAATTTATGTTCATATTATTGTCTACTTTTGCCCTTTTATTTAGCCACTTAATTTGTGACATAATTTTATTATCAACAGATTGTGATTTTAGAACAAATGTATTATTATTTATAAATTAACAGAAAATTTATTTTCATTGTAATAAATTTGCAATGAGGTTCAAAGTTCTATTAATTTCATGTTTCTGAATTGAAAATATATTAACCAGTGCAATGAACCTATAATTTTATTAATATATAGATAAATATAATACTAATTATATATTAATTTTAAAATTTATAATTAGTATATGCTCAAATTATAGACTAATATTCAATTATTTATTAAAAGTTTGTTTAAATAACACTTCCTTTTGTAAACCATGAGATAGTAGCTCTTATACCATATAAAGATCACTCACACGAGATTCTCCATCAATGTTGGATAGTTGTTATTCCAGAGTTGTGAGGAAGTGTATCTCTATGTACATGTGGCAAAATTTACATACTTTAAAGCTATATACACTAGAAGCTATTTTTTTATTCATAATCATTTAGTAGTGTGAAGTGCTTATTTCATCCATGCTAGGTAAATATAAAATAGTACAAATACTGTTGACTTGATAGTGATATGGAGACTTCATCAGCTTGGAAAACAAGATGTCTAGATGGTAGACATCCAGGGTGAGATCATATGGGGCTAGAAATGTCCTGAATGAGCACTGAAGTATCTGGTCTCTTTACTTTTTGACTTAGTCCAACCTCTTACAGCATGCTCCCTTTTCTTCTGTGACTTCTATGAAGACATTCAGATATTTAGGTGGCCATTTTGATGTTTCTTTTTTAAATAGACATGAAATTATACTTGAACAGTATAAAACTCTAATCTAGAACAGTAATGTGAGATTTCTTTTGATATTTGTGTAGCAACAAATACCGAGTGTCATCAAATAGTAATGTGAATCATTATTGAAGTTCCACCTAAGACTGTATGAGATTGATAGGCTGTCATGTATTCAGGAGGACCAGTGTAGGCTGATGACTGACTGCCACCAGAATTTTAAAGCATTTGGTTGATTTTTGTTTGCATTGTTCAAATGCTGATTACATTTAAAATAAGGTTTAATGCTAATATTGATATATGTAGTTTTATGTTTATATTCATTTATATGTCTTGATACTCATAGAATTAAAAATTACTGTTAAACTATATTTTCATGTAATCAGCAACATGAATAACAGTGAATCATTACAAAGCTGCAAGTGATAAGCACTGAGTATGCTGAGGCAGCATATTTAACAAACATTATCTGTAAAATGTAGAAACTATGCCAAGTTATTAAAATCTGTAGGAGAAATGAGTTTCTGACCTACAGAGATGCATCTTCCTATGCTCTACATTGCAGTTCTTTAACTTTTTAGGCATCTAGTTTGACAATTTACTGTTTCTTACCAAACAAAGATTGAAGTAGTAGTCAAGTATATAAATTTCAGTGGCTATGATTTTATATCTCAAGAAATGATGCCACTTTCACACTATAACATAAGTATTTGTAAAAAAAAATATTTTGTCATAAAACAGATAAAAGCAACTTTCTTGATGCTTAGAAGTTTAAATTTTACTCCACAGAATCTGAAGATATATTTCTAAGAACCTTGCTCAAAATAAGTGATATAACATTTGCTTTTGCTGTAGTATTCAGTCTCCAAAATAATTTCTTTTCAAGGATTAATTACAAATATTCCTCTTTGGAAGGTTATTTGAAGAATAAAATTAGAGTTAAGAAAATGCTGGAGCCAAGTGAAAACTGAAATTATGAATTTTGCTTAGTGTTTCCATTTATTATCCTAGTTGGTTGTTTTGGGTTGACAATTTTAAACTTTTGTTATTTTAAATATTATGGTATAATTTGCACTTAAAATCAGAAGTCAAATGTAGTTATCAGAAAGTCAGATTTTAAAAATGCTCACTTCCCATTATCTGTTGTGGTTTTCTGATAAATCATATCCTGCTTTGTGTTCTAAGGTACAGTTTACCAGTTACATTTATTTAATAAACCATAATACTCTATCCAAATGTACCTATCCTTCTTGGGTGGTGGCACCATACAAGTGTAGTTTCTCATGTCCTGCATGCTCACCTAAAAAGTTCCCCCTGCCGGACAGTTATGAACTCTGCTTCAGTGCATGAGATCCAACTTCATGTAATTGATGTAGGCGAGTCAGTTCTTAATCTGGACCCTTTTTAAAAGCCAAGCTGTAAGAGGAAAAAGAAGGTAGGGTACTAAAACATTTTTCTTACATTTAAAAATACCAACATTTTTAAAGTATGCCCACCATTTCACTTTTGTGATATGTTTGTAGAAATAACATCAATTTTTGAGCACCATCTATTCAAACATAGATTTATTAAAGTTCTTTAATTGTAAAACATTTGAAATTATAGCCCTTGCACTTCATACAAATTTGTCTTGTGATGTTTCTTAGCCTTTGAAAACATGGAAGCTTATTTATATACCAAAGGTGCAGTATAAACAGTGTACCATAGACCTTAGAAGAGTCTAGTCAGGCAAGGAAGATGGAGAAAAGAGTTCATTTTAGAGGGTTGAGGGAAGGCAGTCACAGCCTTTGAATAGTAACTGGACTGGCTTATTTGGACTATCTGTGCGAATGTTTAGAGAAAATTAATGTAAAGTAGGGTAGTAACAAATAAGCAAAACCTTGTGTGTTTGGCAGAAGGATCTTATAAACGAGATCATTTCTCATCTTTTGAAAGAACTCCTTTAATTCATCTTAAAGATTATTAAAAATTGAAGACATTTCTTCCTTTTGTTCTTCTTGTGCATAAAATAAACTATATTTTGAAGACTTATCCAGACATTATTATTGGTAGTAAAATAAATATGAGTGGACAAGTAGACTCATGTTAGTGTTGTAAGACAGACAAGGTTTTCATCAACAATCAAGCTAATGGGTCATTGCTACTTAAATATTTTGTTCTTAATGACTAGTATACAGTGATTATTTAATAAAACACTACAAAGTTTGGGGAGGTGATTTGTGAAATAATGTTAATAGCTGGTTGGCAGATGAGCATAAGAGAACAGCTGAGACCTGCTGCTGGTTGCTTTTCCTGCTTTACTTGTAAATATTAGATGTCATTAATAACTGATTATTACAGAATTCTTTGAAGAAAGGCTACATTTATTCTAGAGTTTGTTTATAGTAATAGTCTCTGGCCCAGCAAAACCCACATTTTAACATAAATTCACATAATTTGCTAAAACATTTTAGCTCTTAATTTCTCAAAGCTTAGTTATATCAACATTTTATTACATAGCTAGTATTAGAAAAATCTTGATATTTGCTAGGTATTAGTGACGCATGCCTTTAATCCCAGCACTCAGGAGTCAGAGGCAGACAGATCTCTGTGAGTTCAAAGACAGCCTGGTCTCCAGAGCAAGTTCCAGGACAGGCTCCAAAGCAATACAGAGAAACACTGTCTCAAAAAAACAAAAACAAAAAACAAACAAACAAAATCTTGATATTTTAAAAATGACTTTATATTTCAAAAAGTCTAGTATTTTAGCTGAAGCACACAGATCTCTTTGAATTCAAGACTAGCTTGGTCTACATAACAGATTCTAGTCTAGCCAAGCCTATATAATGAGACCCTGTCTATAACATAATTTAGTTATTTATTTCGTAGAACTCAAAGCTACTGTTCCTTCATGATCACTACTTAGAATGGAAAAAATAGATCAGAAAAATATGTGCTTTATAGATTTTTATACAAATTTATCCACACATTGAGTTTTCATGGATATTTAATTACATATTCATGATGTATTTCATTGAGTAGCATTTCATAATTGCTAATGTCAATGACTGCATAGAAATTTGATATAAGTATTTTACTTATAGAATTGTAAAGAAAAATCACCAAGCATTTATATTTTATTTAAAAACACTTGACATGGATTTATCATCCATAGCTGTGGACTTAAGAAAAATTTTCTTAACTATTCCATTGGCATAATTAATAGGAAGCTTTAAATTAATGTCATTGTTTTAATACATTCATATTCATCTCTTTATTGGACCAATTTTACTCCTAGAATTTGAAAAAGCAACTACAATGAAAACTACTTAGGTTATAATTAGTGTTGCTAATTATAAAGTGAGGATGCATTTATGCATCAAAAGACCTGTATGAATAGTAGCTAGGAAAGCTTCTGCTATTATTATGTAGATGTCTCACCCTAGAAAATACATTTCATGACGTTGCAATCAGCTCATTCTCTAAAGTACACACTTGAGTAATTCTCACCTGTGTGAAATATTAAAATATACCTTGTTATCTAATCATCAAGCTTAATGATCAAAATTTAAGTTATTGGAAGCACATTAATATAATTCAGATGTTTAAATTATTTATTTTCTTCATAGAAGGGATAGAAACCAAATTAGTAAGGACAATTTTGATGAATATGAGTTGCATCAATTATTAATAGATATTTGGAATATATGAACATCATAAGGAATAGCAATAAGATTTTGACAGATCATTTAAATTTAAGTTATTACAAGTTCTGAGCCACATCATGTTACTACTTTTTACATCTATCTCTTTGCACTATTGAGAATTTGGATCTGGAACAAGATGATATTATACAGTACTTCAATTGATTTTATTCTGATGAGCGTGGACATGTTCATCTGAGTTTGGTATGACATAACCTATACTGGGAGACAGGAACCCTAGATTTGGCACCTATTTGGTTGTAAAGTTGGACTGAGTGTTGGACTTAGTGAAGAACAATGTTTAAATGTGTGTAATTCCTCCCATAAGTCCATGTCATTAAGCTAAGTTACGAAAATGAAACTTTAATATTGAATTCATACAGTGCATCAGTTTATCATTGCACAGAAAAAAAAATGCATTTTAAAGTGACCTTTAATGATGGGAACTATTATTGCTCTATAAAATTGACAAGAATTACAAAGTGCTAAATAGAAAATAAAAGATTTGAAACTTTGAAAGCCTTCAGGAGGCTCTACCCCTGACTTAGTACCATTTCCTGTTGGTGTGATTTGAAAGACATCCTTGGCTTGACAACACATTAGGTCAACTACTTCTCCAATTGTTTTAGGTTTTAAGAAAGAAAATATTTTAAGGGAAAGACTTCATGAAATGTAGTCTAATGCTGCAAGTAGTTTTGTTCTGTTAGTGGAAGACAGTAAGTTGACACAGAGGCTTCAAAATTACCATCAGTTTTATTCTTAATTGCTTTATCTAAATTGTAAGTTCTGACACCTTCAATACAGATATATGACCACAAACAAGTTTACTTACTTTTCCTCAAACTTTCAAACCTTCAAGGGTTAGGCCTTTGTTCCTATCTCAGTAGTTTTGATGGATATGTAACAAGGTAATTCATAATACGCATTATATATCTTTGTTGAGGTTATAGAAAACTATCCCATTTGCCTTTTAAGAAATACTTCCTTTAGAAGTCCCTGCCTAGCCATGATATGTGGTTAAGTGCAACATGACACTTAAACAAAGCTCTAAATCCCTTTAACTTTAAGGCTGCCTTATTAGATGTAACAGGCTTCAGAAGAATCCAGGTGAATGACTCAGTGAATAGGTATGGCCTTCTGTGACACATCTCTGTAGCTTATGTTTGTGATTATAAATGGACAGAAAATTCAGTTCATAGTATCTTTTGATTATTTTGAACATAAGATGACAATATTAAAATATATTTTTTCTATTTTTAATGTACCATTTCGCATAATTGGTAAAAAATGGTAGTTTTTAGAATGCTGTCAGTTACATGTTTATTAATATGAGGTTAATGTTTACATTTTCAGATGGCTCTAAGTTTATTAAAATTAATATTTTAGAAGATAATGTGATATTAAGAACTCAGAACTGCAAATTAAATTGCTTTTGTATATGGATCCCTAAATTCATGTGGAATCAGCTTGTTGGTGATGTTCAACATATTAAGTAGGTGGATACTTTTATGCCAAAGTAAACTTCATTTCACCACTTCTTCAAATCTCCAACTGTATTCATTGATAGGAAAGTGACTCTTCCAATTTTATTCATCTAACTTCTTGAATTTTCTTTGACATCTCTTTTTCCCCAAGCAAATTAGAGGGAAAGAAATGGGACTGCTATTCATACATATGGGCAGGATGCGTTTAGCACTCATGTGAGTTTCTACCAGTCACCATCATGATTTCAAGTCATGAATTTATTTTTACATGCTTATGCATGCATACCTACATGTATGAGTTATTCAGTTGGTCTTAAGTTCCATTAAATTTGAATGAATAGGAGAAAACTTTGTTCATAGGATTTTGTTCTCGTTATATTACATTTTATTTCTTTTTATTTTGTTTAATGATCAGCTTAAGGCTCATAAAGGTTGATTTGCTCCTGAACTGCTTTGTTCCCAGACATTGCCATCTTCCCCAACTACCACCAAGTCCTCTCCATCTGACCCCATGACCACCTCCAGAGCTAACCAGGTACAGTATCATCCTCTCATCTACACCATACTTTCACAGCGATTGCCTGCCAGCTGGAGAAAAGGATAATGGTGGGTCAAGGATTTATTCGTTCATTCACATATATGCACCATGACCAGATTCCAAAGAATCTAACAAAGAAATATCAATCATTTTTTAATTTTACATGCATTTTAACTTCATTAACAATTCAAGTAGTAGGCTTAATTTTAATTTTGAAGCTATTCCTTAAAACTGTAATCACTTCACAAAGCCCTGAGGGTTTACGATAGAGTTGGTCCCTTCATTTCTTTCAGTGTATCTTCCTCAGAGTTTTCATAATAATTTAAGCATGTCCACATACGTTATAAAATGTATGGAAATTGAGCAAAGATTTATCTTTAAGGGTGAATATAATTTTACTTTTTGTGACCAGCTTTACTGTATAAAAACTATCAGCAATGAGCATTTCTAGCTTGAAAGTTGTAATTTTAGCATTGTTTAATAAGTGTGGACACAGTATATTTTATTCATCAAAAACTTTTAATCACTTTCATTGCACAAGTGTCAAACTTGGCAGTGAGACTTGTATCTTATTAGTTTGACTTGACAGCTACTGTGAAACTAAATATTTACAAACCAGCCTTCAAAAATGTATTTGTTGAGTAAAATAATTATTCAAAGGTTTAAACACATTTTCATTTTATATGAGTTAAGTTTTATTTAGATGGGAAGTACATTCTTTATATCTCCACTTTTCATTTTTAGTAAAATAAGGCTTCATGAGATTATTTAAATATTAACAGCTTACTTCTTTAAAATATTTTTTATTAGCTGGCAAACAAGGTATTGCTACATATGTTGTATGTGGCATTTTCATATTTTTAATTTAAAGCCATCAGCATAATTTAACTCATTGACTGATCCTAGTAATTTTGCAACCTGAGGGAAAGTAAAATGACTTAAGTAAATCTAAGCAATCTTAGGATGCTGGTCTACAGTAGGAGTTTAGTTTTCTTTTTATGAAATGAAACTTCCTTTAAATGGGAGAACATCATAATGCTCTCATTTTTGCCCTGGAACAGTTAGGGTACATCAGAATGATATGTCCATCACTTTCCTCTGAACAACGTGGTGTGAGGGTGAGAGCCTCGGGGCTCTCTTCTTGCTCTTGTTCCCCAATGCTTTAATTCTGTGGCAAAGAAACTCACCAAGGAAATGACTACCTGTTGTTTTAAATGTCTCCTGTGCTCCAATAGTGTTTGATTTATCAACAAAACCTGGATGGATGAGTACAACATAAACAAGACCAATGATTTTCCTCAAAGTAAGATGATGAATAGAAAGCCAATCTACTAATTTTGTCTCTGAAATTTAGATTTGTAGTTTACTTATATGAATGTGGAATTTTCTAGAATTTTTTTTAAAAATAAACTATATCTACTTTCTCATTAATGCTATATTGTGCCCTCTAGATATATTATCACACTCGCTTCTGCAAAATCTGCTATTGTAATGATTTGAAAAATAGGCACTTTGATTTAATATTGTGTCCACTGTGCTGAAACATTCCATTATTCATACTGTTTTCTTTTTGTTTGTTTGTTTCTTTTCTGTTTGTGTACAAAGAAGCATACCTCCTGGATCACATGAATCAAGTGTTAAAAGAAGAACAGCAAAATCCTTAATTTATTGAAATAGTTGTAGCTTCCCAATATGATTTCATTTTTAATGATTTGTAATGCTCCCCTGTAGTCCTTTATGGTAGGTTTTCTCCCGATGGCTGTAGCAAAAGAATGCCATATTTATTCACTCACACTTTAAATGTATAAAACCTAGAACTATCTTGTGAATTGTCCTAATAAATTTCCTAATTTACGTCTATAAATATAATCTGGTTATGAAAATATGATTCAATTTAATAATGTTAGACTTTATAGAGGTAAAATATTATATATAGAGATAGAGATATATAACCAATTTAAACTTAATTTATATTTACCAGCTAGTATCAAATTTTTTTTATTCTTATATCCAATAGAAATAGAGAAAATCAGGGATTTCCATTTTAGATTAAAAATCACTGTATGCATTATAACTCATATGATAACCCTGCTATAAAAGCAGAGGGAAGAAATCTGCTGAGAAAAGTGCTACAAGCAAAACAGATTACAGTCAAATAACTAACATCTGTATTATTTTCTAATCAATTTTAACTGAATGAATTTTGGTTAGGTTCTCATGTAAGATTAATAGTTTGTGTTACTTACTGATGTGTAGAAAAGACCTAATGAATTGTGAATATGCAGAAAATCTACAGATGAAAACCATGGCAGTAATTCAGAGAATATGCTTTCTCTGCAGAGCTATCATTCCAAAATTTTTTATTCTGAAGATCATCGTGTGCAGCACTTAAATTTTATCTATATTACTCTTCAGCCTCCTTAACATGTTTCCTTGAGTCACATTCTAACACACTATTGTTCAATAGTAGTTCAACAGTAATTCCCCTTGAATACTGAAGACCCACTGTGTGAGAAGTCTTATAAAGTGATAAAGAAAAGGGAACACTAGACCAAACTGTCTATGTTGGGACCTTGTCTAGCCATTTACCTGCCGAGGAATCCCATGTGAAACTCAAATGCTATGGTTTCTTAGGGCTGACTATGAAAATCCCTGCTCTTTCCATAGTGGTGGAACACACTGTCTGAGTGTGTTCACTTAGAGGCAATGTGAAAAATATTAGACCTTAAAAGTCAATTACTCCGTAAATAGCTTTTTTTAAATGCTTGAATTAACAACAATCTAATGCTAGTGTTGTCTGTTTCTGAAGTCTAAGGTATTTCAAATTCCCTGCCTTTAGCTTAGTTCCATAATCAGCATCTAGAGAGCATGCAGTTGCTTTTGCTTGGTAATAAAATGTCACAGTCTCTATTGGGAAGGAATTGGTAAAGCTAACACTGCTACACTTTATTTTTTTACACATTTTAAAATGAATGTTTGAAGCTTTTTCATATATGTTCAATTGAAGAAAATATAAAGCAAAGAGAGTTGGTTAAACTTTAGAAGCATCAACAGGAACAGTAGCATTTATCAGTTCCAAGATGAAGCTCATTTTACTTGTCATCTCCTCATAATTTTATAAGTGGTTTTATAAGTCAGTCAGTGATGCATCGTTATCAGAATAAGGGGCACAGATAACAGGTGCAGGCATTCACCATCATCCTTGCTGCTTCTCCATTCCCATCCCATGAGCTTACATGTGCTTCACTGAAATTGATGCCATCAAAAGAAACCTTCCTTGAACTGGTGTTGGCAAACTTACTGGGTCAGCACTTCATATCCATTCCTTTTGCCTTTTCAGTTATTCCCACAGGTATTTCTCTCCTGCATATTAAGCATACCTTTTCCCTATTACTGAATGATATCCTATCTTTAATTGTACAGTTTGTCAACTTTTGACACTCTATAGAAATATTCCAATCTGCATGCAGTGATTTCTCCTGTCATTTTTTAATTTAAATTTTAACCCTCTCATACATGCATGCAACATATTGAGAACTTGCTCACTTTGAGCCTTCCCCTTTTTTCTCCCCTCCCACTCCTATCTCCCATTTTAAAACACGGATTCTCCTTCTCTCATTATCAATGCTTTCCCCCACAAACTAATGTCACTTCTAGTACTCAGTAGCATCATCCACAACAATGAACTAACAGAATCTTTTTGAAGGCTCCTATAAGCTCCTTACCATATTTTCATGTTCATGTTTTAAATTTACAATTTCCCAAAATGTTTCCTAAAATTTAAGCTTCATGTCCCAAGTACCTTGAACTCACCTGTCACAGTGCAAACCCACACTGCCTACAGCTGTCTGCTTAATGTTGTCACTAACTGCTATATTAAGTACAACAGTTCCAAAGACCACCTGTAGTGAGATAGTCCTTCTGTGGCACTGACCACGCCCATTGGGGTGGAGCCATGGGCGGGTGGTCGGAGGGAGAGCAAGGAAAAGCTCTCTTGCTGGTGTGACAGGGACAGGAGAGGATCTTGTTGAATTTCCTGGTGTTCATCTGTCTAGGTTGTAAGTTATTTCTCCCTGAATAAACATCTATTCGGCCTATTTGTTTATCCTGATCCTTATTTAACCACGTTAACCACCCTAAACATTCTTCTTTTAAAGTTTGTATTCTCTTGCATACATCTGAATGCTGGAAACCAGTTTACAGTGTGAAAAACAGCATACCCAAATTTGCAATGGCACTGGTTAGGACCAGCCTCGGATCACACTGCTTCTTCTATTCTTTCCTCAATGTTGTGCTCTTGTTTTTGTTTTTGTTCTTTTCTGCATATGAAATTCTAATCTCAGAGATTTGTAATCTTTCAACATTTTTCCAAACTACCTACTCAGGAGACCACTTGCCTGACTGTTTAGTTCACTGTCTGGCCTCCCTCTCATCCCAACACTCTTGAGTGCATTTTTCATGCTGTTCTTTGTTCTATTGTCTTGGAAGTACTGGTCACTTTCTTACTAATACAGCTGTTGTATACTGTGCACCCCATCACTCCATTACAATGTTACATTGTATGACAATAAGAATTTTCTCCATTTTACTCTTTGGTGTATAAAATAAAACCAACCTGGAGATTGTAAGTTGTGAAAAAGTATTTGTCGAATCTCTAGCAGTAGATAGAACAGTTTTTTTAGGATCCTTCAAATGAAACTTTGCCCAGGAATTGTCTCTAATAGTGCAAACCAACTAGAAGAAATTGATTTATTGAATAAAGAGGTTAACGTTAAAGAATATAGTCTTTGCCACAGGTTTCTTCTATTCAGCTGTGGCATTATCTCTAATATATGAAGCATTTCTCAATTCCTATGAATAAATTAAAAAAATAATGCAATAGAAAAACAAGTTAAGTTCAGGAAAGGTAATTTACAGAGAAAGGAATAGAAATGCCCAGTAAAGGCATGTTCAGTTTCACCAGCATCAGAATGGGTAGCAGTGTCTGTCACAAAGTT